TGAAGTCCAATTTGTCCATTTTTTTTTATGTTGCCTGTGCCTTTGGTGTCATATCCAAGCAATCATTGCCAAACCCAATGTCAAGAAGCCTTTCTCCTATGTTTTCTTCCAAGAGTTTTGTAGTTTTAGCTCTTTGGTTTAGGTCTTTGACCTATTTTGAACTAGTTTTTTTCTTTTCTTTTGGGGGTTGGCCAGTACAGGGATAGAACCCTGGACGTTGGTGTTATCAGCACCACGCTCTGACCACTGAACTAACCACCCAGCCCCCGTGAGCTAGTTGTTGTATGTGGTGTGAGGTAAGGGTCTGACTTCATTCCTCTGCACGTGGCAGTCCATTTTACCCAGCAGTTTGTTGAAAAGACTGTCCTTTTCCCATTGAATGATCTTGGCACCCTTATCAAATGATTTGACTGTATGTTCGAGGGTTTCTTTCTGGAATCCCTGTTCTCTTCCAGTGACTTACCTGTCTGTCCTTATGCCAGTACACAGTGTTTTGATTACTGTAGCTTTGAAGTTTTGAAACTAAAGCAACCAAAGGGAAGATCAATAAGGACACAGAGGACTTGAACAATAGGATAAGCTAACGGGACCTAACAGACGTACACAAAACACTCCACCCAACAGCAGCAGCAGATTACACAGTTCTTTTAAGAGCACATGGAATTCTTTTTTGAAAGGGAGACCATAAGTTAGGCAACAAAACTAGTAGTGTGAGTCTTTCAACTCTGTTCTTTTTTGAGATTGTTTTGGTAATTTGGGGTCCTCTGAGATTCCACAAGAATTTTAGGATGTTTTCCTATTTCTGCAAAAAATGTCATTGGGATTTTGATAGGGATTGCATCAAATCTGTAGGTCACTTTGGGTAGTACTGTCATTTTAAAAATATTAAGTGAATACATAAACATGGGACATCTTTCCATTTATTTATGTTTGTAATTTCTTTCAGCAATATTTTGTAGCTTTCAGTGTACTGGTCTTTTGCCTCCTTGGTTAAGTTTATTCCTAAGTATTTTATTATTTTTCAATCTGTCATAAATGGAATTGGATTCTTAGATTGTTTGTTGTTATTGTCCTGAAACACAACCGATTTTTGAATGTCAATTTTGTACCCTATGACTTTGAATTTATTAGCTCTAACAGTTTGTTTTGTTGAATGTTTAAGGTTTTCTATATGTAAGACCACGTCATCTGCAAACAGATAATTTTACTTCTTCCTTTCCAATTTGGATGACTTATTTCCTTTTCTTGCCTAATTGCTCTGGCTAGAACCTCCAGTACAGTGCTGACCAGCAGTGCTGATTGTGTTCTTGTCTTATTCTGATCTTGTGGGAAAAGCTTTCAGTCTTCCACCATTGAATATGATGTTGGCTGTGGGTTTGCATATATGGCATTCATCATGTAGAGGAAATTCCCTTCCAGTCTTCATTTGTTGAGTGCTTTTATCATGATAGGGTGTTGGGTTTTTCCAAGTGCTTTTTCTGCACCGATTGAAATGAATTGCGTGGTGTTTCTTCCCTTTGTTATGTTAGTGTGGTGAATTATATTGATTGATTTTAAAGTGTTGAAATATCCTTACATTCCTGGAAAAGACCTCACATGGTTGTGGTGTATGATCCATTTAATATACTGAATTCAGTTAGCTAGTATTCTGTTAAGGATTTTTGCATCATTGTTTATAAGGGGTATTATTGGTCAGTGGTTTTCTTGTAGTCTTTGTCTAGCTTTGGTATCAAGGGTAATGGTGGCCTCATAGAATGAATTAGGAAGTGTTCTACATTTTTTGGAAAAGTTTGAGAAGGCTTAGTTTTAGTTCTTTAAATGTTTTGTAGAATTCACCATCTGGTCCTAGCTTTTCATTGTTGGGAGATTTTTGATTACTTAATTTCCTTACCAGTTATAGGTATACTGTATTCAGATTTTGTTTGTTTGTTTGTTTTATTTTGTCGATATACAATGTGGTTGATTATTTTGGCCCATTACTGAAAACTCCCTCCTGTATTCAGATTTTTTATCTCTTCATGATTCAATCTTAGGAAACTTTTTTTCTAGGAATTTGTCCATTTCATCTGGGTTACTGATTTGTTGGCATATAGTTGTTCATAGTATTCTTATAATCCTTTTATTTCTGTAAAATTAGCAGTAATATCTCCACTTTTATTTCTGGTTTTAGTAATTTGAGTCTTTGCTCTTTCTTTTTTTCCTGGTCAGTCTAGCTAAAGGTTTGTCAGTTTTTTTGATCTTTTAAAAGGACCAACTTTGGGCGTTCTTCTTTTTAATATTCTCTATTTTATTTATATGCTGTAATCTTTATTATTTTCTTCTTTCTGCTACCTTTGGGTTTAGTTTGCTCTTCTTTTTCTAGTTCCTTAAAGTATAAAAGGTTAGATGAGTGATTTGAGATCTCTTCTTTTTGAATGTAAGTGTTTATGGCTATAAATTTCCCTTTTTTGATGGCTGGCCATTACAGGGATAAATTTCCCTCTTATTGATTTTACTGCACTCCATAAGTTTTGGTGTGTTCTTTTCATTTTTATTTGTCTCAAGGTATTTTCTAATCCACATTGATTTTTTTCTTTGACCTATTGCTTAAGAAGGTGTTAAAAAAAAAAACGTGGTGTTTAATTTCCATATATTTGTGAATTTTCCAGTTTTCCTTCTGCTGTTGATTTCTAATTTTACCCCTTTGTGATGAGAAAACCTTGTCATTTCAGGTTTTTTATGTTTATTAAGACTCATTTTGTAGCATAACTTATGGTATCTACTTGGGAAAAAAGTTCCACGTGCACTTGAAATAGCATGTCTTCTGCTGGTGTTGGGTGGAGTGTTCTGTGCATGTCTATTGGGTCCAGTTGGCTGACACTGTGGTTCAAGTCTTCCGTACTGACCTTCCCTCTGGCTTCCTTCTGTTATTACAAGTCAGGTATGATGTTTACAAGTGTGGTAGAACTTTCTCCCTTCAAGTCTGCCAGTGTTTGCTTCATAGATTCTGGAGCTCTGACATTTGTGCACATATAATAGTTGTAACTTGGTGAACTGACCCTTTTATCAATGTATAATATTCCTCTTTGTCTCTTGTAACAGTTTTTTTTTTTTTTTTTTTTTTAAAAGATGACCGGTAAGGGGATCTCAACCCTTGGCTTGGTGTTGTCAGCACCATGCTCACTGAGTGAGCTAACCGGCCGTCCCTATATGGGATCCGAACCCAGGGCCTTGGTGTTATCAGCACCACACTCTCCCGAGTGAGCCACGGGCCGGCCCTCTTGTAACAGTTTTTGACTTAAAGTCTATTTTGTCTGATATTAGTACAGCTACCCCAGCTTTTTTGTTTATTTCCATGGAATGTATTTTTCTATCCCTTCACATTTAACTTACTTGTGCCTTTGGATCTAAAGTGAGTCTCTTATGAGCAGCATATGGTTGAATCATGTTTGTTTTTTAATTCATTAGTCTGTGCCTTTTGAATGGAGAGTTTAATCCATTGACATTTTAAGTAAATACTGACAGGACTTAGAAGTACATCTTTTAGTCGCTCATTTCTTTCATTATTGCCTTGTTTTTGTTGATTTTTTGTGGTCGTATTTTTGGACTCCCTTTCTTACATATACTATTGCTATCTTGTTACCACAGGGGTTACATTTAGCATCCTAAAATTATAAAAATCCTGGGCCGGCCCGTGGCTCACTCGGGAGAGTGCGGTGCTGATAACACCAAGGCCCCGGGTTCGGATCCCACATGGGGATGGCCGGTTCGCTCACTGGCTGAGCGTGGTGCTGACAAGACCAAGTCAAGGGTTAAGATCCCCTTACCGGTCATTTTTTAAGAAAAAAAAAAAAAAAAAAATTATAAAAATCTAATTTAAACTTCCACCAACTTCACTTCAATCACAGAAACTACTACACAGCTCCATCTGCCTCACCTTTTTAATGTCACGACTTACGTACTTATACTTTGTGTACCTACGAACGTAGATCTATAATTAGTTTTTATGCATTTGTCTTTTAAACCCGTACATCTACAAACCAAATATACCACACTGGCTTTCTTATTTGCCCATGTATTTACCTTTAGCAAAGATCTTCATCCAGCTTTGAGGTACTGTCTAGTTTGAAGACTCCATCTGGCATTTCTTCTAGGGTAGGTCTGCTGATAATAAACTCCCTCCACAGCTTTTGTTTATCTAGGAATGTCTTAACCCTTATTATTATTACTTTTTCTTTAACAGGTTTCTTATTTTTGAAGGACAGTTTTCCTGGGTGTTGAATTCTCAGTTGGTGTGTCAGTTTTTCCCCTTTGAACAAGACATTTTCCTGTTTTTTTGTATGCCTTTTGGTTTTTTTGTTGGAAATTGGGCCTTTGGCAAAACAGGCTTATCTGCCAGTCTTTGTAGGCTGGTTCTGTTGGGGGGTGCGTAGCCCTTCACCAATCAACTGGGGGTGCTGTGAGCCCCAGGCCAGTCTGAGGCCAGAGATTAAGGTCTTTCAGTCTCTTCTTAGCCTGCATGTGCCTGTCTCAAGTCTCCATGGACATGGCTGCTTCTGAATGTCTTAATTTCCTGGAGTCATACGCCAGTTGCTTCGTCTGTTGTGTGTTCACCCATAATCTGGTGCCCAGGTGTCTGTGGGTACGTGGTCCCCTGCTTTCCTGAGCAATGCCCTGGCCCTCCTGAGGTCTGAGGCAGAGCAGAGACCAGTCCTCCAGGCAGCCACAGACAAGACAGGTTAGAATATTGCAGCTGAGGTCCTCTCACAGCCACGCATGGTCAAGCATAATGCCACAGAGCTCATCCTGACGGTGTGAAGGTGGCTTTGTGAATTAGTTCAGCCGATTTTTGATGGTTCTTGTTTCTGCTGGGAAATGAGCTGGAGCTTCCTGGCCTGGCATTTTGCTGACGTTTGAAGTTTGAACCACCTCGGCTTTTCCCCTTAAACAGCCCCTATCTTTGCTGGTGTTAATTATTCCACCTCTGCCCTAGACTCACTGTGCGTGCTCTCTTCTTCTAGGGCCCGTGCATCTCTTTAGACTTTCTGGCAAGTGCTTCAGCCTGGTGGAGTCCACGTGAGTACAGGGCGCACCGGGTGTGGGCAGAGCCTGGGGACCCCCTGACACTGCTATGCCCCCAGGTACAAGTATGAATTCTGCCCTTTCCATAATGTGACCCAGCACGAGCAGACATTCCGCTGGAACGCCTATAGTGGGATCCTCGGGTGAGCCGGGGAATAGGCTGGGGGTCAAGGCTGGTGGCGGCTCAGCTACCCTGGGCCCCAGCCTCACGTGTTCTGCTCCCCTCCAGCATCTGGCACGAGTGGGAAATTGTCAACAACACCTTTACCGGCATGTGGATGAGGGATGGTGACTCCTGCCACTCCCGGAGCCGGCAGAGCAAGGTGGGGCCCCGAGGGTGGACACTGGTGAGAAGGGCCTGGGCTTCCTCCACCCACCCACCAAGTTTCCCTCCCCAGGTGGAGCTCACCTGTGGAACAAGCAACCAACTGGCCCATGTGTCTGAGCCGAGCACCTGCATATACTCACTGACATTCGAGACCCCCCTCGTCTGCCACCCTCACTCTTTGTTAGGTAGGACGCCAGGGTGGGGGGGCAGTGAGGCTCAGCTCAGCTAAGGCCAGATGCTGTTGGTTTCTTAGTGTACCCTGCCCTGCCGGAGGCCCTGCAGCAGCGATGGGACCAGGTGGAGCAGGACCTGGCCGATGAGCTGATTACTCCCCAGGTGAGCATGTGCTTGGTAGGTGCACCCTGGCCAGCCCTACCAGCTGCTGGGTGCTCTCTCTGCCTCCTCCACCTGCAGGGCTATGAGAAATCATTGAGGGTGATTTTTGAGGATGCTGGCTACCTAAAGACCCCAGGAGATACAGAACCCACCCAGCAGGAAGGACATCCTAAGGGTGTGGGGTTTGAGACCCTGGAAAGCTGCAGAAAGGTACAGATTTGAGGGATAGGGCTTGGATATGACAGCCTGCCAAGTGGCTTGATTTTTCCCTTAAACTCTTGTTTTAGGCACACAAAGAACTGTCACAGGAGATAAAAAAGCTTAGAAGTTTGCTTACCCAGCACGGCATCCCCTACACAAAGCCCACAGGTAAGTCGCACTGGGGTGAGAGCCAAGCACACCTTGGTACCAGCAGTCTGTGGGGCCAGGTCCTAACCGACCGTTTTGGCAGAAACCTCCCACTCTGAGCACTTGGGCCACACATCACCCACAGCCGGGCCCCCAGCGCAGTTGCAAGGTGACCCGGGGCTGCCTGCGAAGGTCTTGTGACCATGAGAGCAGCACTGATTCCAAACTTCGGGTGTCGTGTCATGGGACGCAGAGGAGACAGCATGGCCACGACTGCAGAGCCCAGAGGCAGCTACACTACAGTCAAGAAGATCCCCTTCCCTTGGACCAGGCCGGGACTCTCCCAGTGACCAGCTGGCCAGTCTCTTATGTTCACAGATGCAGACACAATAAAGATTCCAAGTTTTAATTAATTCCCATATTGATAAAAATAATTCCATGAATTCTGTAAACCGTTTGCATAAATGCTATTGTGTAAAAAAAATTTAAACAAGTGTTAACAACTTTAAACAATTTGCTACAAGTAAATGATTATGCATCATAAATACTACCTTCTGGGTTAAGAAAATTCCATTCAAATAACATTCTCATCTAAGTACGCAAAACAAACACATGTCAGGGACTTCCATAAGTTAATCTTCTCGAAGCGTCCACACCCAGTGAAGATCTCTAGCTGACCACAGTCATGGGAACATGTGACACCATCACGTTACCACTAATAATTAACACAGAGAGGTGAGAGGGCAGGCAACAAGGACAGCGGCTTGGCCGGTTGACCCTGCCTCCGGCAGCCACCCTTGTCACCCACGGACCAGACCACGAGCCCATCTCAGCCTCTAGGGCCGGGGGGTGGGGGTGGGGGGTGCTGTCAGCACCTCCCACCCATTGCTATGCTCCTTGCTCGCCTGGGATCAACCCCACAAATGGGTAGGGTTGGACCCACTGTGGGCAGCCCCCAGGGCTCTGCGGCAGTTACTGACCAAAAGGCGCCCATGGCCCAGGAGTTCTGGCATCCTTTGGTCCTCTGTACACCTGTGCACAGAGCCCACCTGGTCCCCAGAGGACTTGGGGACCCCTGCAAGCAGCTGGCACCCCAGGCCCCCAACTCCACTCCACCCCCGGAATGTGAGCCCTGGAGACACGCCCAGGAGTGGAGCGCCAGCCAGATTCCACAGAACTAACCGGAGTAGCTTATAGACAGACCTAAAGCGTATTGTTCTTGTTTATAATTTGAAAAAGTCTAGGCTAGATACCAATAATAAACATTGTCCTGTTATCCCAAAAAAGACCAAAGGTCTCAAGTGGGAAACAAGTGCATAAATATTAATAAAAATAAGTTTTAAACCAGTGATAACAGCACAAAATATACGTAATTTCTAGGTACTGAGCTAATAATAAATCATCACCACCATAATTAAAACCAAAATAGGTTCACTAAAACCAAGTCAATAGTTACCTTTAATAGCGGACTAGCTGCGGAATGTCATGGATCCACTTCCTTTAAAATGACAACTTTTCTATCAATTTGTCTTATATTAAAAAATGTTTTTAAACCTACTATGTTAAATACATTCTAATTTGGTCACTGACGAAAGTTTTTACCTAGTCACTTTGCACTTTTAAAAAAATGCTATTAAAGTCTTTGGCAAAGCCCCAGGTGGGTGGAAAGGTGGCCAATTCACCTCCAGGCAGAGGGGCTGGCCTGCTCCTGCTAGCAGCCCTGGATGACGGTCCCAATCTGTCATGCGGAGAGCCAGGTCTGGAAGGCTACAGACATCTGCTCCTTCTCCCCGGATTTCCAGGACAGTCCCAATACTGACCAGAGAAGGCTTGGGTCCTCACAAGACACATTCTCAGGAACATTTCTGCTGCAGGCCTAAGGCCAGGCTGTTGCTCCAGGAGCTGACAGGCGGAGGGACTACAGTGGAGCCGAGACCTGGGGGCCAATTCCTCAGCACGCTCCAGGCCACCAAGGCTCTGGGGGCAGGGTCCTCTTGTCCAGCCTCACAGGTTACATGGACGAACTCTTTGATAATAACTGACATACAGATCAGGAGACGGTGTCGGCCAGACTGGTGCCCTGGACTATGGGATACATGGCCGCTCAAGCATCTCTCACATCAGCAGGAGTCACACGCGGCCACAGGTGCAGAGAGACAGCAAGTCTCCTGACTCCCAGCTACCCGCCCCCAGTGTGAGCCCAGCGACATCGCTGAGAAGGTACAAAGCACCAATGCCCGCTACAGATCCAACTAACTACTCAGGATACAGCATCCCAAAAAGTTAATGGATAGGTCAGTTCGCTCAGCGGGTTAGAGCGTGGTGCTGATAACACCAAGGTCCAGGGTTCCAACCCTGTACCAGCCAGCCAAAAAAAAAAAAAAAAGTTAAAAACCTCTAATATCTGATCCCTTCTGTTAAACTTTTTGTTAGTATCAAATTGTCTTTCAGAGTTTCAGGGAGAAAATAAAACCAAATGAATTGTTCCCTTCACTTTTGCAAGGCACAGGCACTTAGAAAAGTGGCCACGGATCACATAAATACATGATAGGGCTCTCAATGTCATTTCACAATACTGGAATAAAAATTCCAGTGATATGTGCACATGCACATGTTTAGGAAATTAGTTCCTTCCATAAAATTAAAAACATCTAAATGTATATGTGTTTTTCAGTAATCACTCTGCTTATAAATACTATTTGCACTTAATTTGAAAACTGTAAAAACCCTAGGTATTTCTCACTACTAGATAAATGTTCATTTCATAAGTACTAGTTTCAGAATATGAAATCTAATATATTTACTGTACTATGAATTAACATAAACTGATAGGAAATATTTTAATTTCACAGTACACATATATAAAGCTTCATATTGTCGCATATTAAAAAACATGAACCTAGGAAGCAGCTTATAGCAATTTGTAATGTCTAACTAAAGTTCTTGGTGTACAAAGTGCTTTTGACGAGACCCCAACTCCCAGTGGCCCAGTCACAGTAGAGTCAGGATTGCGAACTGATGTGATTATACTGCCTGCTGACTCTGCCCACCCAGATCGCACACCATGAGCCCTGCGGAAATAGACAGCTGTGTCTGTGGGTTTGCTGTTGCCATCTTTCAGGAGAATACCTTGAAACTGTCAGTAGAACACAGTAGATAAACATACGTAATACAAAGGGCTGTCAGGTTAGGAGTGGACATGAGCCCATAGTGCGGTCCTGTCGGTGGCACCAGGTTGAACAACGATGCTGCGTCCTCAAGTGCTGGGCTAGACTCCTCAGGCAATGCTCACCAGGAGGCGGGCATGGCCTCTGGCTGCGGGTCACCACTGCAGGGGCTGGCCCTTGCAGTAGGGGCACTCAGGAGGTGCACCGGCTGCGCATGGCTCACAGAGAACCCGGTGCTGGCAGGGCTGCAGTGTGGCACCATGGGGCCGCTCCTGGCAGGCCACACACTGCTTGGCACGGAGCTGGAAGATCACCTGTGGGGCGAGATGCCATTGGCGGGGCTCAGGAAGACCATCCCCAGGCCAGGCCACACTCAGGCCAGCACCAAGGCTGCCTGCCTGGGCAGAGCCAAGGCCTTCCCAGCAGGCAGAGGAACACCACAGGAAGACTCTGGACAGCACCTTCAGACTACTGACTGCCAGCAACAGTGGCAGAGTTGGGGAGATGCCCAGGTAGACACTCTGGCCAGGGGCCACCACTGGGGAGAAAGCAGCCATGGGTGGGAGACCCTGTGACTTGAGACACCAGGCACAGGACTGAGCCACCATGGCCACAGAGGAGGGACCAGCCAGGCAGGGCCTGAGACCTGCAGCAGCTGGGCATCCAAGTGGGGGGCTCAGCAGGACCCTCCAGCCAAGAGCAGCCAGAACCTCGGAGAATGTGCCTGGTGGGGAGCGAGGGGGGAACATGTCACAGCCAGGCCATGGACACAGTCAGTGGAGAGTATATGTGCAAGAGGCAGGGCTGTGGAAGCTTCCAGATGCTTTGAGCTCTAACAAGGAGAGAACCTGGTGTTAGAGGAGCTCAGCGGTTTTTACACTAAAATGACAGAACAAGAGGCGGTACCCAGTGACCCTGAGAGTCACTCTGAGGCACCCAGATGTAGCCGTGGCTTTGTGACATGCTGTTCAACCACACCTCAAGGGGTGGGACGGGGCCACACTCTCCACGAGAAGTTCACTGGCAGGAGGGAGCAGGGGAGAGGGTGGATGTGGAAGATTCTGGAAAGGAAGTACAAAGGGCCAGCCCCACAGGACAGGAGGCACACACTGCCAGGGAGATGGGGAAGAGGACGGGAGCCAGGTGAGGGACGGGGCGGAAGGATCGGCAGTGCTGGTCTGGGTCCTGGGGCTCTCACAGCACATCATCCCCCCAGGAACCCTCACCAGGGCTGATTGGGGACTCACCCCATCAACAGCTTCCAAATCCAGGCGCAGCTGGCTCTGCAGGGAGTGCAGCTTGGACAGAGGGATGGTGCCGATGTCACCACAGCTCCGCAGCCCAGACAGTGAGGACGACAGGCCCAGGCTCTCGAGCTCCTCCTGCAGCTGTTTCACCTGGGCCTCCACCTCCTCCTTCCTCTGCAGTGCCAGCTGCCGGTCGTTGTCTGCCACACGGGCGCGCTCCTTGGCCTCCTGAGCCTCTCGTTGCCACGCGTCACAGGCCTGAAACCCAGGAGGCTGCTGTGGAGGCAGCCAGGGAGCCCTCTCCATACACCCACTGTCACCTGGTTTTACCTGCACAGCCAGCTCCAACCCCCCCCCACCCCCAGCTCACCTGCTTCACCTGCTGCCAGGACTCCTCCCATTGCCTAATCCTCCTCCTGGCCTCATCCAGCTGCCGCCTGACCCGTGCCAGTTCAGCACCATTTGGACTTGCACTTGAGGGTGTGGGGCCTGCATTCAGGATGGGGGACGGGCTGGGAGAGAAGCTGCCAGAAACAAAGTCCCAGATGCTCCCAGGGACACCGTTCAAGCCTGAGTGTGGGAGAGATGGAGATGACACTGACTGGCGGGGTTTGCAGACACCATTCCTGGGCCCTGGCCGTGACCAACCTGGCACTCGGCCTGGTTCCCAGACCCCAGCCGGGCTCGCCCCAGGGGAGGTCCAGTGGCTCAGGAAGAGGCGCTGGGGGTGCAAGGGGCCAGCAGAGGCAGCTGACAACGACCCCTGCCCACCACCTGCAGAGTTTAAACAAAAAAGGAAACTGAATTCGGAGTTCCCATGACTGCATCGTGTGGAGCAGTGGGTCTCAGGAACCCTTTACACACGGCGACTCTTGGCCCCAGAGAGCTTTCGTTCACGTGGGTGACATCTATGACATATATGGCATTAGAGGTTAAAGCTGAGATATTAAAAATGTTGATTCTTTTAAGATATAACAAGTCACTAAGAGAAATAATATTTTTAATAAAAACACGACGTGAATGACAGGCAAAGGCACAGTTCCTGTCCGTCGCATCCGCTCCTGCGTGGGTCTCATCTCCGCCCATCCTGCCACCTCTGCACTGTGCCCGCACATGCACAGAAGAATGCCAAGTCTAGGCCTCGGGGGTCACAGCAGCATCTGGGGGCCACTGCAGGAAACCGCTCAGGCCGCGGTGCGGACAGCAGACCAGAAGAAGACACGAGCGGGCTAGGGAGCCAGCAGCTCAGGACAAGTGTGAACACCTTGGTGGCACCTCCCAGGCCCAGCCCCACAAAGAATACCCAGGACCTGCTCTGGGAAGCAGAGCAGCAGGAGGGACCCAGGCCCAAGCGACTCACCTAGGGAGCTGTAGGACGAGGTCGAGGAGCCCAGAGCGCCGGGCTCCGACCTGAGGGGCGGCGGCTGCTGGGGGGGCGTCATGGCCGTGGAGACAAGTGGCCCTGACAGCGACTGAGATAGCGAGCTGAGCGGGGAGGTGGACAGGGATGAGGATGAGTACAAGGACGGGGAGCGGGGCAGAGAGCCTGGGATGGTGACAGGTGCCGAGCCAGCCAGCGACCGGGAACCTGGACAGACAGAGGAGCCAAGTTAGCGGGAGGCAGGCAGCACCAGGCCTCTGCCATGGGAAATACCTGCTATGAGCTGGGGGCAGCAGCCACAGAAGACAGACACTGGGGGACCCTGGGGGTGGAGATCCAGACCAGCAGCTGCCATCTAGAAGTGGGGAGCCAGCAGAACCCCCAAGGGTCACACCATCACAGATCAAAAGCCCCATTCAGAAGGGATCTTAGCCAAAGGCCAGACAGTACTGGGCCCTGTCTAGCCAACTTGGCCACTGCCAGGTGTTGCCAGCACTTTTAGGGCCCCCAAAATGGTTTAATTTCTGTCAACGTCGGAAGGAAAAGGTGGACTTTGAGGTCAAAGAAAATGATTTAGCATATGACGAGAGCCTGCCGTCTCTGCAGGGGCCACTTTGCTAACATGGGGTAAACTGAGGAAAACACAGAAAGCTGACCCTGCCCAGGTGGCAGAGGCAGGAGAGAGAGGTGCTGAGGGGTTTGTGTGCCAAGAAGAAGAGGGGGCAGGGGGAGAGAAGAGGCCAGCAGACACAGCCCCCGACGCCAGGCACAGGCAGGCTCACCTGACCCTCCGAGGTCACGGCTGTCCTGCTCCTCCAGGTCTTTATCTAGGGATGCAATATTTATGTCACCAAGACGCAGATCTAAAGCAGAACCTGTCAAAGAAAGCATCGCGTCACCCACACGCCAGGGGAGGCCCTGGGCCGCGGGAACAGCGGAAACCCTGGGCTTAAGGTCGGGGAGAAGTGAGCATCCTTCCCTAGACCCTGCTGCCACCACTGTGCCTCCAGCAGGATGAGGCTCCCCAACTTTACTTCTGTCCGTTCATATTTCTAATCACTGGTTAAAATTTAACCAACTAAACATATTCACCTATTAAACTTCCAGGAGGTGGCTTCCCATTAGCAAGCAGTTCAAAGGCTACCTTGTGCGGAGTACCAAGACAACACATTCAAACGCCGTAAGGGCTGAGCAAGAGCCAGGATCCCCACCCGCAGCAAGCCACACAGGGCCACCCCATCAGAGCAGCAGAGATACATATGTTCTTTCCACTCCCAACACTGGGCAGGGTCCTACCCATGGGCCCCCACGCCCCAGCCCAGCCAGCCTTGGGGCAGGGTCATCTCCACCATCCTCTTCCAGGGGGTACCCTGGTGCCTCCTGTCAGGATGACCGCATCCTGCTAGCTCCCACCTCCAAAGCTGTCACTAGCTCTTCCCTGTAGGCTGGACTGCTGGCCCCAAGGCTGCTGCGTCCCCAGCTGGCATTCCCTGCAAAAGCCTTTTCCCTCAAAAGCAGCCTGCCCTGCCCTGGAGCAGTGAGCAGTGACCCCAGGATCAGGAAGCTGTCCCAGGGTGGCTGAGATCAGGCCCCCAGCCCCCAAATAAACTCCTGTGGTGGTGGCACAGCAGTCAGGACAGGGAGAGGCTGGAAGATCCAACCCTTGGGTGTGACAGAGCCCATGCCACCTTCTAAGGAGTGCCAGGGGACAGGGCAAGGGCTGCAGGGGCTCCTGAGACATGCCCCATGGGCCAGAGCTGCCTTCCCAGCCCAAAGTCACGGCCAAGTCCACGGGGAGACCTCAGTGGCACAGAATGCACAGAACAAGGCTCTGCTTTGCTGGCAACTCTCTCCCCTGCCCACCTCTGGGTCCTGGTTCTCCCCATACACTCTGTGCCATCTCTCCTGTGTGGCCCAGCTCTGCACCCCCTGCTGGCTGCGGGTTCCCCACTGATGCCTGGTACGCATGGTGTGTTGCCAAATCCCACTTCAAGAAGCCACAAAGCCATCCCTACCTATCCTCAAAGAACCCCCAGCCCCCTTCCTCCTGTCCTCGCCTGGGACAGATGGTGTCTCCACAGCCTAGGCATCTGCACCACTGGGGACCTAGCCTGCGCTAGGTCAGCACACCAGCTCCTGGAGCTTCCACCTCTGCCAGCCCCTCTAAGCTGCCTAGTGCCAAGTGTCAGTGTCCCCTGGACCGTGTCCAACAAGTAACATCATGTCAAAACCGCTCACAGAGGCTGCTACTGCTCTGTTCAGAACAAGTGGTGCTCAGTAGAGGAAAAAAGGTGGTCGCTGCCCCCCAATGCCTCAGGTCAAGTTCCAGCCCTTGGCATGCCCCAGCCCTACCCACCAGGGCTCCTGTGATCTCACTGTCCCCACAGCCCACTGCAGCAGACTCCCTGGGAGTGCATCCTGTCTGCGAGGAGCCAGTAGCCATGACAGGTTGACAGCCTCTGTACTGCACAGGGGCTGTCCTGGGAAACAGAGCTTGTAGAAGCAAAGACATGGCTTCCAGGACTATGAAAACAGCTGGATTCAGAAGAGCCAAGTGGAGGACATGCCACAACAAGAGAGGGGCTGGCGCAGGGACAGGAGCCCACCTGTGGCCGTGCAGAGGAACTGCTGCCTTCTCAGATGAAGGGAGTTTTTATTACCATAATTAGCAGGAAATAAGAGGCTAAGAGAAGCAGGACTTCCAAGAATGTAAGTCCCAGCCACACATGAGGTGTGGGGAGCCTGCATGCCGTGCACAGACCTTGGGTCCTGCCTGTCCAGGTCTGAGCTCCTCATCTAAGGACCAGTCAGCTCCACTCCAGCCCCCCGTGGGGACCCCAACAGCCAACCACGGGGCATATCCCTCACCTGATGCCTGGCACTCAGTGGCCCAGCTTGGAAGCGGCCAAACGCTCTTAATTCCCAAGATGGGCTCATTGTGCATACAGGCACTGCTGGTATGGACGCAGCACTAACCCTAACGCACTTCCGCCTTCGTTCATGGACTTGTTCCTCACAGTAGCCTGCAGAACATGCCCTGTCCCGCCCCGCTCACAACCACACTGCGCCGGTGGAGAATGTGCTCCAGCAGCCCAGTGGGGCGGAGACAGTGCCTGGGCATGCAGGGGTGGACACTGATAGCTGGAAGCAAGAGCCTCATCACCCACCTCCAGTGCACGACTCCCAGACCCCAACTCTCATTCAGAGTCTGCCTGGAGGGGAATTTCCAGGGCACCAAGGCCAGGCTGCTAAATCACCTGCGAGAAAACAATCACACACACACCCCCACCTGCCGCACCACATCCTAGCTGTGGGGAGGAGGACCCTGGAGCAGGGGACCACTTTCCCCTGGGGATCCGAGACAGCACACAGCGGCACACATCGAGAGTCTGCTCACTCCCATGGAGAGACCATTCAAGTGAAAATTTTAAGGACTCTTGAAGGTTTTATCCAGAAAAGATACGAACAGGCAGGTGGCAGGTAGGCCAATACCCCCCTGGAGACTGGGAGCCAGTGACCCTACCACAGATGCCTAACCCTGTGAGGACATTTGTCAGGTGAGAGGCAGGGGCAGGCCCCAGGCCAGCAGCACCTGAAACCACTTAGTCCTCTACTTCCCGCTCACAGTCAACCGTCATGAAAACAACAGGAAGACGAGCATTCCACAGGGTAGTATCTAGTGTTGCTGGGTCCAAAGACGCCCGACTGTAACATCTGACCTCTCAGGCACACGAGGACCAGCTCACGCTGGTTTCTAACCCACCTGATGTCCTTGAGCCACGGCAAAGGATGAGAGACAGAATGCAGTTACTTGGGGGGCCCTGGGCACAGAGCCCGTGCCCTTCTTTGGCAAAAAAAACCATCAGAGAGAAAACACAGAGAACAGAGCAGGTCTCCACTTCTTGCAGGCCCAGGCCCTTCCTCCTGAGGGCTCCTCCTGTTGCGGGTGCCCTCCCTCCACGCTTCTGCAGCGCTTCCTGGAGTAAGTACCTTCTATTCAACAGGCAGCTGCTTCATAACAGCCCAGAGATCAGGGGTGTTAGTGTCCTGGGCCTGCCCTGTAACAATGGACCACAAACTGGGAGGTTTTTGAGATCAAGGTGTGGGCAGGGCTGCGCTCCCCCTGGAGGCTCCAGGGGAGGCTCCTTCCTGCCTCTTCCAGCTTCTGGTGGCTCCCAGCGCTCCTTGGCTTGTAGATTCGTCACTCCAGTCTCTGCCTGCCTGCGTCTTATGTGACCTCTGTATGTCTGTGTCCAAATTCCTCCTTCTAGGGCTGGCTGGTTGGCTCAGTTGGTTACTGCACAGCCTTATAACACCAAAGTCAAGGGTTCAGATCCCTATACCAGCCAGCCACCTGGAAAAAAAAACCCTACAAATTCCTTCCTCTTATAAGGACACCAGTCATTGGATTAGGGTCCACCCGATGACCTCAACTTAATTACATCTGCAAAGACCCTATTTCCAAATTAGGCCTCATTCATAGGTCCTGGGGCTTAGGATTTAGACTTCTCTCTCTGCGGGACAAACACCCGGAGACACCCCCACTGTGTCCTTCCCATCCCCCCTTCCAGGCTGTGTTCCTATAGCCCCATCTCAGTGCCTCCTCAAACTCTGCGTGCAGAGGAGAGTTGGTGCACCACAGGGTCCCTTCCACACGAGATGCCACCCTGGTGGGAAGCCTCAGCTCCTCCTCCTCCCTCAACCCACACCAGCTGAGGCCCAGTCCCAGCCCTCACTGCACTGTGCATCCTCTGGCCAGCTCTGCAGTTACCCCCACACATGCAGCCTGAGCCATCCCAGGAGTGACTTTTCTATGACAACAACCCCGTCACGTCTCCTCCCCTCCCCCCCCAGAAGAATAGAGCCTGAGCCCCTTAGCATGCTGGTCAAGGCTCCCTGTGGGTCCCTCCCTCCCTTGCCCCCCAACCCCCCAACAGACTTCACATCCCAGCTCCACACACAGGCAGCCGCGCTATAGTGGACCATGGCCCTGCAGTGCTTCCCATTCAGTAAGAACAGCCCCACTCCTCCCAGGAGATCTGCTCAGCCTCCAAAACTCTGCTTGGAATCCCCCTGCTCCATTCCTGAAAGTGGCAGCCCACACAGTATTGGGGCACCTGGACCAACGCTGGCTGAGGGGGCAGACCCTCTACCCCAGGCCTGCCTGGTGCCCCCTTCATGCTCCTCATGCTCGAGCTAAACTGTGGGGTGAGACCCAAGCCCACCCTTCATACACTGGCCTGGGGTCTGCTCATAGTAGGTCCCTGCCCTGGACGGGCTAGTCAGCTGGGCCTGGCAACCTGGGCTTAGCCCTCTGTGCCTGAAGGCCTGGAACCAGGTTGGAGTGGTCCCTTCACAGAGCCTGACATCTCTTTTTGATGAACAAAGGAATAAAGGAATGAATGAGGGGAACCGGAATGGAGTAGCCTGTTCTCCCCTTGAAGTGACTTAATCTGCCAAGCTCCCTGTGACTCAGCACAAGGGTGCTCCCGCTGCTGCCCTGGCGTAGCCCACCCCCAGGCACAGAGGTGGCACAGCTCACACACAGGAGCCAAACTGGGACAGACGCCCGCACAGCACACTCAGAAGGCAACCACGCCCTGCGTCGGCCGCAACCTAACTCAGGGACTGACTCACCCTGCACTGGGGCCTGAAAGTTTCCTGGAGAAGAGATGTTTGGGGAGCCCCTGGATGGCCCCCGAGAGTCTCCAGCTCTATTTCAGAGCCAAGTGCCTGTGAAGAGCAGTGAGCCGGCACCAGCACTTGACTAGCACTATCGGGAGGGCCTCAGGGGGCACCACTCCTTGGGGACCCTAGGGGCACCAGGTGGGGAGACAGTTGCTCCCAGGATGTCTCGGCCCCCCTCCTCACCAGTAGTCTCTCCTTCTCACCCCACTGTTCCCCAAGGTCAGACTCAGACCTTCAGAAATATTCTTAAGGGAAGATGAGTTTTAAAAGACACTCGAAATTTAGGTGAACCTGGTTACATAAACTAAGTGCAAGGGCCCCACGGTGCCACCTGACCCAGAGCCAGCATTGCCCAACTACCAGGAGAGCCTGGATGTTAACGAGGAATGAGCAGAGAGCTGCTGAGTAACGGCCCTGGCACGGCATGCTCCTGGGGTGACACAGCACATTCACAAGGCGCCGCGGTCCCCTGGGGTCAGGGGCGGACGGGGACAAGCCACACAGACTGCAGGAATCAAAGGCCAGGACCGGGACCCCGCAGAGGGCAGGCTGTGCCCCCGCCCACGGAGTGCAGGATGCCCCGCCAGCGCCG